CTGGAATAATGGTAGATCTGGAATTCTCCGACTAACCTCAGAGCTAACACCTGCCTTTCCAGGTTCCCCCAAACCATACCACACCACCTGTGATTTGTAGGAGTGAGGGAGGAAGAATGGGATTAATCCGAGGGAATTTTGCAAGAGGAAAACAGAATCTTAAAAATTTTAGATATCTACTATGAGCAAAGGCTCTTCATCTCTTTTAGCTACAACCTTTGACATTCTGGAGAAGATGCGCCATCCAAATGGGGGTAAAGATCTTCAAGAAAGATAATAACGCCTTTAAAAGCAGTGAATTTGAAACAAATTATGTGTTTAGGGAGTAGGCAATAAATACAAGTGGAGGAAAAGGGTGGGGAAATGGAGAGAGAATACTAGAATAGATGAGGACATGGGTGAAATGGGAGTCCTTAAAATAAAATACACCAAGTGTCACAGCCAAGAGGAGCCTTAGGAGACATAACGACTAAATGTAATGTGGAATCCTGGAGGGGATTCTGGACCAGAAAAATAAAACACAGGCATACCTCATTTTATTGTGTTTCACAGATATTGAGGTTTCTTACAAATTGAGGGTTTGTGGCAACCTTGCGTTGAACAAGTCTATTGGTGCCATTTTTCCAACAGCATGTGCTCACTTCGTGTCTCTGTGTCACATTTTGGTAATTCTCACAATATTTCATAATTTTTTATAATTTTATTTATTTATTTATTTTTTCCCCCAAAGCCCCAGTAGATAGTTGTACGTCATAGCTGCACATCCTTCTAGTTACTGTATGTGGGACGCGGCCCCAGCATGGCCAGAGAAGCTGTGCGTCAGTGCGTGCCAGGATCCGAACCCCGGCCGCCAGCAGCAGAGCGCCCGCACTTAACCGCCAAGCCACGGGGCAGGCCCTCTCACAATATTTCAAACGTTTCCATTATTATTATATTTGTTATCAGTGATCTTTGATATTACTATTGTCATTTTTTTGGGGTGCCATGAACTGCGCCCATGTAAGACTTAATTAATAATGAACTTAATTAATGATGTGTACTTAATTAATGAAGTGAACTTAATTAATAAATGTGTATGTTCTGACTGCTCCACTGACCAGCCATTCCCTGTCTCCCTCTCCTCAGGCCTCCCTATTCTCTAAGATAAATAATATTAAAATTAGGCCAATTAATAACCCTGCAATGATGTCTAAGTGTTCAAGTGAAAGGAAGAGTCGCACGTCTCTCACTTTAAATCAAAAGCGAGAAATTATTAAGCTTAGTGAGGAAGGTATGTTGTTGAAAGCTGAGATAAGCCAAAAGCTGGGCCTCTTGCACCAAAGAGTTAGTGAAGTTGTGAAGGCAAAGGAAAAGTTCTTGAAGGAAATTAAAAGTGTTACTCCAGTGAACACACAAATAAGAAAGTGGAACAGCCATATTGCTGATATGGAGAAAGTTTTAGTGGTCTGGATAGAAGATCAAACCAGCCACAATATTCCCTTAAGCCAAAGCCTAATCCAGAGCAAGCCTCTAACTCTCTTCAAGTCTATGAAGGCTGAGAGAGGTGAGGAAGTTACAGAAGAAAAGTTTGAAGATAGCAGGAAAAAAAGCCATCCCCATAACATAAAAGTGCAGGGTGAAGCAGCAGGTGCTGATGTAGAAGCTGCAGCAAGTCATCCAGAAGATCCAGCTAAGACAATTAATGAAGGTGACTACACCAAACAACAGATTTTCAGTGTAGATGAAACAGCCTTATATTCGAGGAAGATGCCATCTAGGACTTTCACAGCTAGAGAGGAGAAGTCAGTGCCTGGCATCAAAGCTTCAAAGGGCAGGCTAATGCTCTTGTTAGGGGCTAATGCAGCTGGTGACTTTAAGTTGAAGCCAATGCTCATTTACCATAACAAAAATCCTGGGGCCCTTAAGAATTATGCTAAATCTACTCTGCCTGTGCTCTATAAATGGAACAACAAAGCCTAAACGACAGCACATCTGTTTATAAGATGGTTTACTGAATATTTTAAGCCCACTGTTGAGACCAGTGCTCAGAAAAAAAAGATTGCTTTCAAAATATTACTGCTCATTGACAACACATCTGGTCACCTAAGAACTCTGATGGAGATGTATGAGATTAATGTTGTTTTCACGCCTGCGAACATAAGATCCATTCTGCAGCCCATGGATGAAGGAGTTAATTTCAACTTTCAAGGTTTATTATTTAAGAAATACATTTCACAAGGCTATAGCTGCCATCGATAGTGATTCCTCTGATGGATCTGGGCAAATTGAAAACCTCTGGAAAGGATTCACCATTCTAGATGCCATTAAGAACATTCGTGATTCATGAGAAGAGGTCAAAATATCAACATTAACAGAAGTTTGGAAGAAGTTGATTCCAGCCCTCATGGATGACTTTGAGGGGTGCAAGACTTCAGCAGAGGAAGTAACTGCAAATGTGGTGGAAACAGCAAGAGAAATAGAATTAAAAGTGGAGCCTGATGACGTGACTGAATTGCTGCAATCTCATGATAAAATTTGAAGGGATGAGGAGTTGCTTCTTATGAATGAGCAAAGAAAGTGGTTTCTTGAGATGGAATCTACTCCTGGTGAAGGTGCTGTGAAGACTGTTAAAATGACAACAAAGGATTTAGATTATTACATAAACTTAGTTGATAAAGCAGAGGCAGGGTTGGAGAGGACTGACTTCCATTTTGAAAGAAGTTCTACTGTGGGTAAAATGCTATCAAACAGCATCCCATGCCACAGAGAAATCGTTCATGAAAGGAAGAGTCAATCAATGAGGCAAACTTCACTGTTGTCTTATTTTAAGAAATTGCCACAGCCACCCCAACCTTCAGCAACCACCACCCCGATCAGTCAGCAGCTGTCAACACAGAGGCAAGACCCTCCACCAGCACAAAGATTAGACTCACTGAAGGCTCAGATGGTGGTTAGCATTTTTTAGCACTAAAGTATTTTTTAATTAAGATATGTACATTTTTTTAGACATAATGCTACTGCAAACAATAGACTACAGTATAGTATAAACACAACTTTTACATGCAATGGGAAACCAAAAAATTGGGGTGACTTGCCTTACTGCAATATTCGCTTTATTGTAGTGGTCTGGAACTGAACCTGCACTATATCCAAGGTGTGCCTGTAGAGATCTGAGCCCTCCTGCCTAGAGACAATGGAGGTAGCAGGCAGCAGGAAAGCAGAACCCAGATGCCTGCGTACTCCTGCTGCTTTCCCGCTCGGGGTGCAGCATACCACCAGTGCATGGCAGTGGGGCGTGGAGGAGCAAGGTGATTCCGGGTCAACCCTGGGCTGCAGTGGTCTGGAGCATTTTTGGCAGTGGTGGCGGTGCCCATTCATGGGCCCCCAAGGATGCCTAGATGGGCATTCACCCTAAGTATTTTGAAATGATGGAATTAGATATAGGAGATGCCACCCCAGTTTACATAGTGTTCTTGATTTACCTGGACCTCTTGGAGAGTAAAGACTGGCATGAAGTAATCTGTGTGGGCTTACCAGAACTCCAGCTCATCTGCCTTGTCGGTACTGAGAAGAAGGAGAAGGGTTATAGACCGTGGTGCCTACACACATCAGTGCTTCCCTCAGCCATAACAGAATATTTCCCTTAGGAGATGACACCTCTGTTTCCCGATGCTTAGTTTATTCATACAAGTTGGGATTTGAGACCCATCAGACTGCTTCATCTTTTATCTCAGAGATAGTCAGGGTTGACTTAGCTGATCCATTCCATAAGTTTTCTTTCTGAAGAATAAAACTTTCCCAGATAGAAGAACTTTTTTTTGTTCAAAAATATAGAGTAGGGGCCCGGCCTGGTGGAGTAGTGGTTGGGTTCATGCACTCTGCTTCAGTGGCCCAGGGTTTGTGGGTTGAGACCCCAGGTGCGGACCTACGCACCACTCGTCAAGCCATGCTGTGGCAGCATCCCACATACAAAAAAATAGAGAAAGATTGGCACAGATGTTAGCTCAGAGCCAATCTTCCTCAGCAAAAAAGAGGAGGATTGGCAACAGATGTTGGCTTAGGGCCAATCTTCCTCACCCTTTCCCCCCAAAAATAGAGAGAGTAGTTGCTCTAGACCTCTCTCATTGGAGACACTTGAATTACAGTTGTATACAGGTTTATGCCTAGGATGTGTTTGCAGGGGTGGAATAGATGTTTCTTCTGTCAATCCCCACTCTTAGCTGCCTATCATTCCTTGCTGCCATGGCTAGCTCGTTGTGGAGACTGCCACCTCTTTGCCTTACTCCACACTCCCTGCACATTATGGTCACTACAGCTAGCCTGGAATGGCATTGCATACACTGTGACACCTAGAGAGTTTACTTCAGTCTGCTTTTTCATCTCCAGTAGAAAGTAAAAGTTTTTTTCAATTAGTTTTCATGTTGAAATTACTGTTATATCTCTCTTTGGTTGACTTGAAATAAAAACTAAAAATATGCTCTTCCAGGGCCGGCCCCGTGGCTTAGCGGTTAAGTGCGTGCACTCCGATGTTGGCAGCCCGGGTTCGGATCCCGGGCTCGCACCGACGCACCGCTTCTCCGGCCATGCTGAGGCTGCGTCCCACATACAGCAAGTAGAAGGATGTGCAACTATGACATACAACTATCTACTGGGGCTTTGGGGGAAAAAAAAAAAATATGCTCTTCCAGAGTGTAAACTTGACTATTTAGGGACCAGAGAAGTGCTACCACTTTTGTCAGTGCCTCCCAAATAAGTTGCCTAAAGTATAAAAAATTATATGCACAAAGATGTTCCAATGGCATTACTTGGAATAGCCCAAATTTTAAACCACTTAAAAGTTTAGGGCAGGGGTCAACAAACTTTTGCTGTAAAAGGCCAAAAAGTAAATATTTTAGGCTTTGCAGGACATATGGTCTCTGTCACAATTTCTCAAATCTGCTGTTTGTAGCATGAAAATAACCATAGAAAATATATAAACAAATGGGCATGGCTGTGTTCCAATAAAACTTTATTTACAAATGCAGGGCCATTGTTTGCCAGCCCCTGGTCTAAGAAAATAGTCGATAAACAGATATATATAGCCAATGAATGGTTCATTATGTACTCATTAAAATTAGTAATGAGTAGTAATTAGTTAGTAATGAAATTTCAAATTAGTAATGAAAAACATGAGAAAATATTATATTAAGTTATAAAAAAGCAAGATACAAAGTGTATGAATGGTTATGATCATGGCTGTAAATAACACACCAAGCATATAACAAAAAGATGACAAAATAAATTACTAACTGTGGCTGTAGTAGGACGGAAGGGCAGTAAATGGATGACTTTGTCTTCAATATTTCAGTTTTTCTTTATTTGTGTTACTTTTATAATAAAAATGTTTTAAAATCAAAAAAAGAAAATAGATAAAAACTGAGAAAATATGAACAAAGTATGGACTTCAGTTAATGACAATATATCAATATTGGTTCACTAATTGTGACAATTGTACTGTACTAATGTAAGATGTTAATAACAAGGGGAAATAGGTATGAAGTATGTGAGAATTCTGTGTACTATATTTTTCTGTAAATCTTAAACTATTCTAAAATAAAGGGTTTATTTTCAAAATTACCAAAAAATAAATAAAATAGACCTAGAATATTATTATATTTGTTTGCTCAATATATGTTTGCTAATATAGGTCAAATATTATCAAAAGGGAGTGAGTTTTTAATGTATTTTTTAAAGATCAAGAAAAACTGATGTAAGCCAAATAAAAAGAAGAATTTTGTTAATAACGAATGCCAAACTCAACAAACCAAATAAATCAAATGCCACTTTCAACACCTGGTGTTAACTTTCCTTGAGTATTCATTGGTAACATACAAAACAGCTGAATCAGTCAGCGTTCTACCATAGCAACAGAACCAGTATGAGATATATATCTATATGGTTATGTAGATATAGATATTTATTTCAAGGAATTGGCTCATGTGATTATGGGAACTGGGGAACTGGCAAATCCAAAATCCCTAGGGCAGGCATGCTGGCTAGAAATTCTCAGGCAGGAGCTGAAGCTGCAGTCCACAAGTGAAATTTCTTCTTCCTCAAGGAAACCTCTGTTTTGCTCAAGGCCTTTCAGTTGATTGGATGAGGCCCACCCAGATTATTAAGGATAATGTCTTGTACTTAATGTCAACCAATGGAAGATAAGTACATCTACAAGTACCTTCACAGCCACACTAGAATAGTATTTAATTGAATAACTGAGTACTATAGATTAGCCAAGTTGACATGTAAAATTAAGCATCATAGCTCACTCCTTGTCAACTTGGCACCCACATGCATCTCCTTAAACCATATGTAATCTCCAAATAAAATAGCAAAGCCATTCTTCTGCCTAACATAATACAACCATCCTGTGTACAACCAAAAGCATGCTCTTTCTCAATAAGATGATGCAAAGTCTTTGGGTGATGTTCACTCTTCTCCTTGATATCCTGTAACTTAAATACCGTGATATAAAGTTAACTACTATTAATACATCTTATGTCAGATGATATAGGGATAAGAGAAGGATGTAAACAAAAATATTTGCTACACACATATATTTGTAACTGTTATGGACTGAATTATGTCCTCCTCAAATTCATATGTTGAAGCTCTAACTCCCAATGTGACTATATTTGCAGATACAGCCTTTAAGAGGTAATTAAGGGTAAAAGAAGTCATAAGAGTGGGGCCCTAATCCAACAGGACTAATGTCCTTACAAGAAGAGGAAGAGGGCCAGCCCCGTGGCTTAGCGGTTAAGTGCACGTGCTCCGCTACTGGCGACCCAGGTTCAGATCCCAGGCGCGCACCGACGCACC